GAACTCATCTGCATAACAAATCCCACTGTGGCCTATTGAGAAGCTGTATTGGGTATAATACAGGAAAGCCTACCCAGTCTACGTGTACATATTACACAAATGTATACATGTAATGTGTACTTATGTACATAATATGGACTTGAACATGTTGCATGTATAGATGAAGGCAGATGTGTCCTGACTTGAATGCATCAGTGCTCATGTCTAAGATGTTCTTCTGAGCTCGGAGACAGTGTACATGTCCTCCCCCAACATGTGTCCTCAGTCTCTACTTATTTCTTTATTTAGAAAGTTGTGGTCCATATGAAGGGAGCACCAGGCCTCTGGGAAGTCCTCCTCGTGTGTTACCCAAAAATGTTTAGTCAGTTCCCAGGTGAAATATGACAGACCTGCTTTATGCTGGTTTGAAGCAAGAACCAGACTGGATTTCCTACATGTTCCCCAGGACTGGACTCCACATATTCACAGTGGAGGGCTTGGGCACTAGGACCCTTCTTTCAGACACCTCCAAGTCCCTTTCTACACTTCGCCTCTATAAGCATTATAAGATTCCACTCAGTTGAGTCCTCTTTGAGAAATGAATGCTCCCATGGCTCACTCTGTGCTCCTCTCGCATAAATTATGGGTATTGAGCACATCATTCTAATTGGCTGTGGGTTCCTTATGGAAAAAACTTATCATAACCATTACTTCAATTCATTGCTTGACACTTAATGAATGTTGGGTTAAATTATTAATGATAAAATTATATTTAATATGTATAATTTTATAGGATTATTAAAATAGATTTTTATCTTTTCAGCAAACCATTCCTCAAGCTACTGCAGCAAAATACCCCCGGACTATTCATCCCGAAAGTACTACCTCAGCTTCCAGGTCCCTCGGAACCAGATCCACTCACTCCCAGTCTCTCACGAGCGTTCACTCCATCAAAGTGGTTGACTAAAATGAATATGTTCATATTAAGATCTTCTAAGTGCTCTGGTTTTACCAAGGATTAGAAGTCTTTAGTTTCAAAATTTTCCATATTTTTAGAACATCATGGATACATCATGTTCACCTTTTCAAAATTATAAGAGACTTTTCAAGCCACACCATCCTTTGTAAAATAATATGTAGGATATTTTAATGTTATTTTTTTAATTTAAGCAATTAAGTAAAACTTTTTTAAATTAAAACACCGGACTATATTTTTTAATAGGCTCAGCCTGTAGCTGATTATACAGGCTGATTAAACAGTATATAAATCCTGTTTTCTCTGCATTATTCCACAAAGCTGAATTATTTCCAAGGTTACTAAGTAAACTTTAAGAGGTTTATTTGAAAAATTATTAAAACTAACAGAAACTAAGGTATTTTTATTTTTAAGTGAAAAAGATAAAGACCAAGAGTAATGATATTGTTATCAAAGGGTTTTTTGTGACTGTAGCATATTTGTCTTCATTTTCTAGTAGTCCAGCAATTAAAGATAGGGGGAAATGGCAACACCTATGAGTAGATTTTGATGTTAAAAGGGAAGAAATTTACCAGAACAAAAACACAGTTATATTGTAGAAACATCAGAAGAAAATTTTCTATTAGAATGATCCTATTTCTGGTATTCTTCCTTGTCTCTTTTGAAACCTCAGTTGAATCCATATTCTCACTAAACATCCAGTGTCCTAGAGCAAATCTTCTAAGCCTGAAGAGAGGCTTTTCAGTGCTGGCCAATAGGAAGAAAGCATCTGCCAGAACTGACCAAGGAGTACAGAACCAGGCTTCTTATGGTTTTATTGCTGGCTGCCAGGGTTAAAGTACTTATGGGTTGCATAAAAAATGAGTAGATTCTGAAGAATCTGTTCAGGGCCTCAGTTTCCATATTGTTAACAGGAGTGGATAGATTTAATGATCTGAAGCCTCTTCCATTTTGAACATAACCTAGTTTTATGCTCTAATTGTGTTACAGGAGAGTTTTTCTTATGTCCTTACATTGTTAACAGGACATCATCCCGTTTTCTAATGGGGCAATCCAAGGCTTTTCTGAATTATTAGAAATATCTGGCGCTTCTTATGCCAAACTTGTTCTGGGTTCTCTCAAACAGCTCATGAGTTACAACAAACACAAACCAATAGCACCTCATCTGCTGCCTGTACGGAGGGCAGTCTCCTTCTCCCCTCCCCCCACAGGCTTCCTCCCCTCCCAGTCCAGTCATGAGAAATAGGCAGGCTCCATTTGCAGTCTACTCATGCAGCCCTGAATGGTAAACAGATCAAGTCTTCCTTTCTTCCCACTATATTTTGGAAAAGAGTACCCTCAAGGTCAAATAAGTTGTGCTTGGTACCAAGAGGTGGCCAATTTAGTAATTCACCCTGGTCTAGGCTTTCCCTCCGTCGCCATATTGCCCCTTTTCCTTCGCTCCTGCTCCCTTGAATTTGCACTCCTCAGAGAAGCAGTGTCATGTAAACTGGCTTCAGTCTCCGTTTTTTGAAGAACCTCAGTTACAATTAGGAGCAGTTTTCAGAGTGCAAGCCATAACCATGTGGACAAATTGAAGTCAATATTATGAATACTGTGATTAAGAATATTATAAATCTTATTTATACTTTTAAGTTCTGGAAGCTATATGGTATAAAGCATCAAGTAATTAGTGTTAGCCTAAGTTAACATAAATTCAACAATTAAAACACTTTATACAATAAGAGTATGTATTCATATTTCTTTTTCTATAAAGCAGTTACCCAGATTGGTGGGGGTGGGCAGGAAGAGGAAGAGCAAGGTCAGCAGAAACTGGCCATACTGAAGAACAGATGGAGACAAGACTTTTTCACTGAATACCTTTGTTAAAACTTGGGAATCATGTGAAACATATTAACTGTTTTAAACATTCATAATGTTAAGTGGGTCAAAGACGAAGAACTATAAGTTGATGATAGGATTACCTGGATTGAAATTGCTCATGATATTATTTCTGGCCTTACAGGCCTAGAGTCAGAATTTGAGAATGGAGAGCCTTAAATTATAATGAATAGGTGCCTATAAACTGCCATAAATTGGTGCTTGATTTCATGTTTAATAACTTTCTCAGATTACAAAAATAATACATGTTCATTATGGAAAAAATTAGAAAGTACAAAGAAATACAAAGAAAGTCACCTATAAATCACCAAGAGATAAAAAATATTGGTATATATACTTCTGGCCTTTCCATACATACTACACATATGTGTTATTGAAAGCCAAGAGTGACTATAATTTCCAAAGCCAGTTTCACTTACAAGAGGAATAATAGTTAACAAGGTCAATACTATGGACATGAGGCTACAGGCATTCTCCCTTCATCCTCACCAAACCACTGTGGCAGGTATTTCTTCCATTTTTATAGAGAAGGAAACTGGAGATTTGGAAATTTGAATATTACTGTAGAATGCCCAAAGTTTCATAATTAAAAAGTGGCAAAATCGACTCAAAACCATGTCTATCTTAAAATTCCCAGTTTTCCTATATGCCATAATGCTGTTACCACAATCACATTTTTCTAAAACATGAGGTCCAAAATGCTTCTAGACTATGCTATCCCATATGTTACATTAAATGACAAATGGGGAAATCATACAACTTGCCTTAAGCAAGAGCCAAAAATGTTTTTTGACTTTTCATTTCAGTGGTTGAAAGTAGAATACCACTTTTTCATCTGTTAGGGATCCTATTGCCACCATCTTCATAGCTGAAAGTCCTGCGAGAGGAACTTCATGGCATTAAAGAGCTGAACTTCAAAGGACTGGATGCTGAGTGGAAAATCATTTAAATACAATTTCTCTAGGCATTTATGAAACTACATTTCTTGGGCTTTGAGTTAGTTTCACTTTTGAATTGACGGATCTTTTCTGGGGGGAAATAGCATAAAATTTATTATTAATGGCTAACATTTATTAAGCACTTACTGTGTGCCGGCACTATCTCACAGTTAATCCCACAACAGCCCTTTGCCATAGATCCCTTTTTTCCTAGTTAATCAGAGAACACTGGCACAGCGAGGTTACAGAACTTCTCAACATCACACAGCTTATTAGCATTGGAGTTCAGGCCTCAGTTCAGAAAATGTGCCCTGCACCCCTTCAGAAAATGCCTCTAGTCACTCCCTGGGAGTTCTGATGGATACACTTCCCCAGTGCTAGGCGGACAATGCCATGGAAGGCAGGCATCGCCCAGGCACTATTCCTTATATCAAACTTGAAACAGAATATTGGATCGGGTGTCTGATTTGTGGAAGTGTGGTCTCAGCTTCAGGTAAAACCGCATCATGAAAAAAAAAAAAAAAAAAAAGAGGCAGATGTTGCTTTATTTTGCATAAATGGTTATGATTACATGTAAGTTATAACACCACCTAATTTATTGATAAGTTTTCAAAGCATCTTCCCTGACACGATAATTTTTGGCAGAGTAATTTTTAGCACTAATCTCGACTGGCAAAGCAATAGGCTGCCTGCTCTTTGCTTCCAACCCAGAGATGACATTTTCAAAGACACTAACTTGCTGTTTCCCAACAGGGGCCAAGTAGCTTCTGGAGCAAGACAATTCTTGGTAGTGGAGAACTATCCTTATGACTTCGTTCAGTGTCCCCGTCCCCCTGTCACCTTCCTCATTCTCCTCCCCAAAATACCTGGATACCTCTGAATATGCCTGGTCTACTGCCTGTGGTCTTGCTTGAAAGTCAGAGGAAAGTTGATTGGTGCATCCCTGGTGCTCTCACTTCTAAATTGCTTCTAAATTGAAAATAATAGTATCAAATGATTTTAGACATTTTCTGCTTATTGCCTTATTTCAGAGTAAATATTTTCAGATGTAACTGGTAAGGAGGTAACCAAGACTACCTTTTCAATGTTATCTGTCATTGGATCATTTTTGTCATTCAAGATGGAGACAAAAAACAACAATAATTTTTTAATAGGGTGCTGTTATCATAATGTACACAAGAGAGCACTATTGCAACTACTCCCTTACTAGGGAGCTGAATGTCCATCAGACATTGCAACGCCTCCCTGCAGGGCGAGAGCCCTCTAGGTCTATCATTGGGTCTTCTTTCCAGCCTGACAGAATTCATTGCTAGCATGCAGTTCTCAGAGTGTGAGTACTGTCTGCCTGACACAGGAAAGGAGAGGGATGTTTCAGTGTTGTGTCCCTTGCTTCTGTCACAACCCTGCTATTTCCCCACCCCCAAAGAAAACAGTGGTGATTCCGTGGCTAAGGAAATGTTACAACAAAAAATGCATTTTTAATGTATCCTCCTTCCTTACCTCTCTCCAGGCACAGTATCTTTCTGCTTTTATGAGCATGTCCACAACAAGGCTGTGGTTGCTCTGGGAGGCCACCAACAAGGCAGTCTTTCCTTGCTGAAAGTTAAAAATGAAAGAAAATACTAGGAATGGCCTAACTGTTAGGAGCTCTAGATTTAGAGCAAGGGAGCCTGGCTACAAAGCCTAACCCTACTGCTTCCTTGCATGGTGAACTTGGGCCAGTCCTTAGCTGCTCTTCATCTCAACAACTACTTCATGGTGTAGTGGTGAGAGGTACATAGGATAATGTATATAATGCCCTGAGGACATGTCATGTATGACACAGGTAAATTGTCCAAGAAATGCTAGATAATGATAGTGTCTGGTGCTGTGTCAACTGGGCAAGGGAGAGAGTTTGGGGTAGGGACTCATAACCAACAAGTGATATTTTACACGTGCTCTACCAATGAGAACCCCAACATTTCTCCAATACCCCCGGGTTCTCCTTGGCTCACTACCCTGGGATGTCCTCAGCAAATAAATTACATGATTGTACATTTTCTCCTCCAAAGGCAGGCTTACCCTGTGACATAGGCTTTAGCAAGCGGCCATGCCCCCACCCTTCCATCGCCTTTCCTTCCTTTCTTCTATAGGAAGAGACCTCTTGGTTTCAGCTGGACACGTGGCCACTCCAAACAATTCCTAGTCTCCCTTGTACTGAGTTCTGGCCAATGCAACTTCTGGTACATGCAACTTCTGGGAAATATCTTTAAATAGAAGAAGGGTATCATTCTCCTTCCTTTCCTCCTCCTCCTCCTCCTCCTCCTGAGTGGAATGCTGGCATGGCGGTAGGAGCTTAAACAGCCACCTTAGCCCAGGAAGCAGAAGCCATGCGTTAAGAAGGGAAGTAAGACAGAAAAAGCTGGGTTTTATTAAAAGTAATATCAATCATGACAACATGACTGATTCATAGCACAGAAGTCAGCTTGCTGGGCTCCTAACTAGAATTTTTTTTTCTTTTATATCATATTGCCTCTAACCAAAGATGAGGGTTGAAATCTTAACCAAATAGTCTGATAAATAAGGGCTATTCTAGACATAATTTGGGGCATGAGTGGCCTGAAGCTGCTTTGGTACCTTAGATAAATTACAGAAGGCACACCTTTGTCAGAACGGATATAGCTCAAAGCCTGGCACACAGCTTTGCAAACAGTGTACTCTAGATGTTTTTCCCCTGAGATTTTATGCAGTACACAATCTAGACATTTTTTTCCCCTGAGCAGAAGGGTAAGTTCCCTTTTGTTTTGCCAACGACCCATGAAAAATTTGCTCACAAATCCTAACAAAAATTAAAATGAATGGTAAGACATAACCCAAGAAGAAGTTCCAATCTTAGGAACCTATGTTCCTATGTTTCTATGATTAGGGATCCAGAAATTTATCCCAGTAATTCTATCACATCTGACTATTTGCAACTCCCAAATGATTTGGCAGTTAGGGCAGGCACTGAGACCCAGGTGAGCCTAAAAATTAGGGCTGAAAGTAATCAGCTTCTAATCAAGAGAGACAATAATGAAATTAGGAAGAACTGCATTTCGCAGGCATTTAGCGAGCCTCTAATTATACATTGTCTAAATTCTGGTTTGTAAAACCATTTGCATCACTGTAATTAGCCTATTTGGGGAGGGCAGCATTCTGAGAGCCAGTTTTCAGGCTCATAGAAAACCTTGCCTGGGCCCGGCCAGCATGGCTGCTCAGTGGTTGAGTGTCAACTGATGGACCAGGAATTCATGGTTGAATTCCCAGTCAGGACATATGCCCAAGTTGAAAGCTCCATTCCCAGTGTGGGGTGTGCAGGAGGCAGCCAATCAGTGATTCTCTCTCATCACTGATGTTTCTATCTCTCTATCCCTCTTCTTCTCTGAAGTCATTAAAAATATGTATTTTTTTTAAAAGAAACTCTTTCGCTGGATTGTGTGCTGGAGTGCCAATCCAAGCACTTATGCTATTGAGGGTGGAAGGCCCTCAGGGAGCCTTGTGATAACTCAGTCCCAGAGAACAGGTTTCTGGGAAAGTCAAATGTATACCAAACCTTGGCTCCCTTTTTTCCATCCAGGTCAGAAACAATCACTTATCTTTGGTAAAAAATGTGGAAGCAGTTAGAAAAGGTAGCTTTTACTTATTAGTTCAATATGTATTTGGTACCATCTATATTCTAGATCTAGACACTAAGAGGAAAGAGAGCAAAGGAGAAGAAAAATCAAATTGTGCAGTCCAGTAAACTGTGGGCTATTGTTCTGAAAACAAAGTCAAGTCATAGTATTAATAGTGTTTACTCAAATAGCCAGTCCACTAGCACCAAGGGACCCAACATGAAGTCCCTGCCAATGCTATATAGATCCTCCACTCACAGGACTGCCCTGGAGATGAACCACTGCATTAGATGAACTATGGTATGCCCATAGATTGGAATAGTAGGCAACTATTAAAAATGGTTTTTAAAAAGTGATTTCAATATGAGGTGCCTAGAATAGTCAAGTTCATAGGGACAGGAAGTAGAATGGTGGTTGCCAGGGGCTGAGGAGTCTGGGGAGTTACTATTTAATGGGAATAGTGTTTTGGTTTGGGAAAGATGAATGGTTGTGATAGTTGCACAACAATGTGAATATACTTTATGCCACTGAACTGTACCTTTACAAATGGTGGCAAAGGTAAATGTTATGTCATGCACATTGTGCCACTATAAAAAATGGTTTCAAATATTATTTTTTAAAATGAAAAAAATACTTATTTAACATTAAGAGCCTTAGGAAACAAGGAAACAACACTGTATTTAGCCAAGCTCATATATATATATATATATATATATATATATATATATATATATATATATATATATAAATTTATATAAGAAAATACATCCATAATCTTAAGAATGATAATATCTAGATCGTGGGAACAGAAGTTACTTTTATTCTCCATCCTCTTCTATTTTGTAAATTTCCTGCATTGTAACATATAAAAGACTGTGGGACTTCTAATTTCTTTCTGGAACCAACATTTTCCTATTAAGAGGGATGAGAAGCCACCCATCTTAATCTACCACCCAAAGTAATGCTGATGTGAAACATTTCCCAAAGATTGGGACAGAACATTGCTTGTGATGTAGCCCCACCCCTAAAGCAAAGAAAGGAAGCTACTTCCCCAGGGCTACACAGCTGGGCAACAATCTATCCCAGTACTCTTCTCACCAGCGCATAGGGCCAATGTGCTTAGGGTATTTGCACAATTAATACCAAAACGCACTTACTAAAGGCTCTTGGATGGCATTGTGCCCCTCTGGGGGATAATCATCCCAGACACTGCACTTACACTGACAAACCTACTGAAGGACTAGACCAACATGTAAAACATCAAATCCTTGTAACAGCTCATGTAACAGTGCTGCTGTCAGTCTAGGAGGCAGGAGATGCTCCAAAATGCTAAGAAGAGTTCTCCTTCTTTGGGGAGATTACAAATAAATTATAAGTTTTTAGCTTATTTATGTTTTCTTATTTTTATATACTAAGTGCATTCCTGCTCTAACAAAAAATTAAAACAACCAAATCTAGTTTTATAACTGTACTAGAGGCCTGGTGCATGAAATAAATTTGTGCACGGAATAAATTTGTGCACGGGGGAGGTCCCCTCAGCCCAGCCTGCACCCGCTCCAATCCAGGACCCTCGGGGGAATGTCCGACTGCCAGTTTGGCCCAATCCAGGGAACGGACCAAAACTGGCAGTTGGACATCGCTCTCACAATCCTGGACCACTGGCTCCTACTTGTTCACCTGTTTGCCCCCAACTGTCCCTCCTGCTAGCCTAATCACCCTAACTGCCCCCCTCTGCTGGCCTGGTTGCCCCTAACTCCACCCCTGTTGGCCTAGTCACATCCAACTGCTCCCCTGGTTACTCCTCACAGCCTCCCCCGCCCCCCCCCCCCCACTGGCCTGGTTTTCCCTCAGAGCCCCCTCCCCCCCAAATGGCCTGATTGCCCCACACAACCTGCTGTTGAGTCGTTTGGTCATCCCTCACTAAACCCCCTGCCTGCCTGTCATAGGCAGCCATCTTGTGAGGACGGGTTAATTTGAATATTACCTCTTTATTATATAGGATAGTAACCTAATATACCCTTCTTCTCTGGAATGGATCTAGTAGGAAAGGCTGAGGGTGTTAACATAGTTGAGCACATAAATATATGTAATAACAAGAGGAGTTTTTTCTTCCCTAAAACTTTTGGGATAGAAGATGGGGGAGGAGGAAGGTCCCCGGGGAAAGAAGGCACAGAAGGGCAATAGTCTCCATCAGCTCAGGGCACAGGTGAGCTCCCAGGAGAAGACAACACAGATCTGAATGGGTGCACTGGGTTGACATAAGGGCAGCAGGTTAGCTGGCACCCCCACCCACCTGGCTGGCTCCACCCCAGGGCACAGCCAGCCTTCTCTGGGAAGAGGCAGCCAGAAAAGCAGAGGGGAGCCGGAGGTCTCTGTCCTTGGGATTCTGGGAGTAGAATGGTGCTCCCGAGAGCTTCCCTTCCTGTTCCCTCCCAGCAGCTCCTGGGAGAGGCCAGCCGACTGAGAACAGGCCCCGAGAGACAGTGCCATCCCCATCCTCTTCACCCTTCCACCCCACATGTCCTTTTCCAGCCAGAGAGGGATTCCTTTTATGGGGTATTCGGTGCTGCTCATGGATTGAAATCATGGTGATTTTTACTCCAAGATTTTGCCTCTGGGCTAAAATACTGTCTCTAATATAGAAACAAAGCTTCCTTCTTGCTCCCCCCGCCCCCAATTACAACATCTCAAGTGGGGGTGTAGCTTTTCATTTAAGGAGCCTCTGGGAACTTGCCTCTGAGCTACTGATCATCTATCAGAAATGCCAGTAAATAAACGTACTGGCAGAACCCCGTTTGCGTGTTGGAAAAAGACGAAGTATTTCTGTGCAGGTTACAGAGAGGGAAAAAAAAGGATAAAAAGAAGGCGTACTTTCCTCTCAGGAAATTTTAGAGCACCTTGAACTTGATCAAAACTATCCCTAAACACGCACAGTGCTGAAACATTCAAGAAAAGAGACACTCCAGGTTCTGACTTGCTTGACTCGCCTGGTTTAGACGTCAATGTCATGCTGTGCACGTAATAAGCTGTGGACCACCGTAATGTGGTTGTTGATAACAGCTACATGGAGGGCGGACGCCTTAGGCTACAGAGAGACACAAAAATTTCAAATGCAAACATTCTGGCTTCCTCCTTCATATAAAAAGGTGACTCATTTCAGCAGACACTTCCTAATCCTCTGAGTACCGACTTGCCCAGCACAGTGACTGACCCCTAGTCCGTGCTCAGCCGTCATCTCTGTCCCAAGGCAGAACAGCAAACCTTTCACGGTGACCAGTCTCCCCGCCCCCATCCCCACCCCCACCTCCACCCCCACCTCCACCCGCATCTCCCTTCATTCCTTCTAGATCCATATGCTGAAGCCCAGGCTCTTTTCAAAGACTAGGGACTGAGTGGTGAGCATGGCCCATTCTCAGCAATCTTCCAGTCTAGTGGGGTAAGGAAATATTAGCTGGTGTTTGTTTTTTAGTCATAGTTACATGTTATGAGAAGCGCTTTGGAGGAAAAGTAGGGTAGCAGAAGAGCATATGTGGGAGTGGGCAGAGGGTGAACAAGGGAAATGGGAGACAGATGGCGGGGGCAATCTGAAAAGAAGGCTTTCTGCACAGGCCCGTCTGCCCAGGAAAACCTCCTCTCCTGACACACTGAGCACAAAAAAAAAGAAAGTAAGAACAAGTATCCCTCCTCCCAGGAAATGGGCAGTGTCCTTCCTGCCGGGACCACCGGCCTTGCTGGGGCCCAGCCCCTCCCGAGAAAAGGGAAGCATCTCTGGATGGACCGGACAAGCTCAGAGCCAATTCCTCATCGCCGTTCTCCAAAAACTACCAGCCACGGCTGAAATCACAGCTTCTCTGGAGTTTGTACAACAAACAGTAATGGCTAAGTAAGATCCGAGGAAATGATATTCCCACAGGAGAAAAGAAAACAGGGTGAAAAGTAGAGGAATGTTTCCCATCTAATTCCAGCACAGTGAACCTTTGTAAGTTTTACCAAAGCCAATTCAAACTTCGGAAAACCTAAATCAGCATAAAGGGTTGGCTTTCGAAAGAAAAACAAGCTTGTTCCTGAAGGAGGGAAAAGGATCTTTCTCCTTCCTACTGACAGCAGCTTCATCGTTTGCCCAGGCGGATAAATTTAATACAAGAACAGTGGCGTCTCTAGACACAGGAGAACGTTTTTATTACAGCAAATATAAATGTTTAGACCACACAGATTTCATTTTGTTCAGGAACTTCAAGGACTTTCTAGAATTCATTCCTCGGATTTTATTTCTCAAGATTAAGGCGCCGGCTCCGAAAGAAGCCAGTTGGCCTTCCCAGAAAGAATCCCTTCTTTGTGAACACCGTCCGTCCCCACCGCGTATCTGCGAGGAGCATCTCCCGCAGGCCGGCCTCGCAGCGCCACCGTCAAAGCCCGAGCTGTTGGAATGGACTCACTTTCACGTTCTGGTGCAGAGATCAGAAAGCTGACAAGGGATGCGTGGCCATCCTGGGTTGCTATCTGCAAAGCACTGGGATTGAGCTGGAAGAAGAAGCAGGTGGGAAGAGCACAGGGGGATTCCCGCTAGAATCCAGCAGCCTTCTGGCATCCGTCACATGGCAGTCAATTAATTCGATGAAATAGTCTGACTGTTTAATAAAGACAGTCCAATGTTTTCGATAATTTAGGGAGGTTCTGTGTTGCTTCTACATGTTTTCCATTCAAGAGTCAGGGGAATACATGCCTCCAGCAAATACATCTCTGTTTCCCTTCTCCAGAAGCACAAAGCAGACCAGAGCCAAGTCTTCTCTCTATACACCCTGCACCCCCAACCCCACCCCACACGCCCCCACCCCTTACTCCCCCTCCACCCCCGCCTTGAGCCAAAATAGCTGACATGGTATTGGTCCCAACGAACGCCTCAGCACTCTCCTGCCTCCTTGCCTGTTTGCTAGCAGCTCTCCCCTTTCTGAAACTCAGCGTGACCAGTACTGAGGGAACACTGCAGCACTCCTCGTGGCCCTTTCTCTCAGCCCCTTCAGCACCTCCTCCCCTCACTGCCATCAGCTGCCTCACAGCTCCCTGTGCTCCATGCCTTCACTCAGTGCCCACACTAGATGTCCAAGCGCTGTAGGGCAGGGCCTGCTCTTGACTACCCTGCCAGCTCCACAAGGCCCAGCAGGTGCCTTGCAATAATACAAGGCCAATGCATAGCTATTGTTTCATTCACTGGAGGATGGCTACACAGTTTTCAGGCCCTCCAAATAAGGATGCTAAAGGAGAGTGTGTCTCCCTAAAATGGCTGCAAGACTATCTCCTCTCCCACATGCTCTTCAGCAGCGTGACCATGCCACGTCCCCATCAAGGGGTGGCGTTTATTTCTTTGCCCCCTTGAATCTGGGTAGACCTGTAACTGCTCTAATAGAATCCGGCAGAAGTGACAGCGTGCCAATGCCAGGTGTGCTCCCTCCCTGGCCTGGCAGCTTCTGCTTCCTACCTCATGGGAGCCAGTTGCCATGCCGTGTGAAGACCTAGGCATGTGAGGACACCACATGTTGGCCCTCTGCCAGGCATGAGAGTGAGCCACTGTGGACACCCACCTCAGTTAACCCTTCAGATGACAGAAGGCCTGACTGACATCTCACTGCAGCCACGTAACAAGCCTAGAGTAAGAATCTCCCAGCTGGGCCTGGTCAACCCTCAGAGCCACAAAAAGATAATAATACATTGCTTTAAGCCACTGCACTTTGGGTTGGTTTGTTATGAAGCAACAGGTAAGTGGAACAGGTGCTAATAGGAATAATACGCATTCTGACCAACTAGTCTGGCATGAGCTGATAGCCTTTATGACCTTGGATAAGTGGCCTCTCAGATATGGGCCACTTTGTCTTCCTCTATGAAAACGACATTGCCACCTATATTAGTTTTTTTGCTGTTGTTAACAAAGTATAAACATAAACTCAGTGGCTTACACAATACAAATATATTATCTTACTGGTCTGAAAGTCAGAAGTCTGAAATGGGTCCTACTGGGTGGAAATAAAGGCCTTTTTGGAGGCTTTCGAAGAACCCATATCTTTGCCTTTCCCATTTTATAGAAGCCACGCACATCCCTCAGTTCGCAGCCCCTTTCCTCCATCTTCAAAGCTGGCAAGGGCGCGCTGAGTCCTCCTCATGTCGCCTCCCTCTGACCTCTCTGCCTGCCTCCCTCGTCTGCTTTAAAGGACCCTTGTGATTACATGAGCATTGACTAAGATGATCCAGGATCATCTCATTTTAAGGTCAGATGAACAAGCTTAATTCCCTCTGCACCCCGAATTCCCCTTTTGCCAGGTCACGTAACATATTCACAGATCCCAAGGACGAGGCTGTGGGAGCCGCTGTTCTGCCTATCACACCTCCCTACCTCTTTCTCTCAAAACACAGCAACACTGGGAAGATAAATGAGCTAGTAAATGTGTATCGTCATTGTAATTATCATCCTATTCACTTCACAAAAAGTTACTGCACCCCTTTTCTGTGCTGGGCCCTATGTTAGATATTGGGGGGATTTGACGAGACTGACAATATCTCTGGGGGAGTGGGCTAAATAAATTGATGTATAGCCGAAACCGGTTTGGCTCAGTGGATAGAGCGTCGGCCTGCGGACTGAAAGGTCCCAGGTTTGATTCCGGTCAAGGGCACATACCTTGGTTGCAGGCACATCCCCAGTAGGGGGTGTGCAAGAGGCTGCTGGTCGATGTTTCTCTCTCATCGATGTTTCTCTCTATCCCTCTCAATTCTTCTCTGTGTAAAATCAATAAAATATATATTTTTAAAAATTATTAAAAAAATAAAATAAAATAAATTGATGTATAGATTTCATAGATTGGTAGGTCAGTAAAGCAGTAGATTTAGCATGAATTTATTAGACTCTAGATGTTATTAAAAGAAGAATATCAGCTAAGGATAAGTGCTACAAGGAGAAGTAAAATAAAAGTAGATGACTAGTTTCCAGTGAAGGATCAAGAAAGGCTTCTTGGGTGGGGTGACGTTTAGCCTGAGGTCAGGGAGACCTGAAGCAGAAACCAGTTTGTGAAGAACCCAAAGCCAGGGACCCTCGAGGGGAAGAGCTGTGGCATCTGCGGCCTTGCACCTGCGAGGTGCTACAGGCACAGCGCACAGGGCCTCCGGACCTTTTAGAGCCAAAGAAATATTTGAAATCTTAAAAAAGAAAAATGGTTCCAAGATACCAAAAGAAAACCACGAAATTGAAGTGAATAAATATTTAAGTGACATATTCATATTTCATTGATTGTTAAATGTAATAATCATTAAATATTCATTACATTTGTAAACAATTTGCAGGTTATATTTTTTTTCACCTTCCTGAAATTCCCAAGTATGCACAGAGGTCTAAGAAATCAATAATAAATTAGGAGAGTTTACCATGTCCAAATAATTATGAAAGCACAAGTAAAAGAGCCTTTAAAAATAAGTTTCAGGAAAAAAAATATTTAACGTGAAATGTAGGGAAATTTAAATACATTTAATAAGATGTGAGGATAGGACCCCCAGAAACATGAGTTCTTGCAGGGGACCCAGGCAGCTGGGGCGGCCCTGAAGAGAGCCTATTGCCCAAACTCTGGGCCGTCTCTCCATCCAGCAGTGATGCAGGAAGTCGGCCATCGGCTAAATCCATAACCTACTTCAGTTACCTCCTCAGAAATGACTCAACCCTTTGCCACCCCGTTGGTGGGGAGTGGGGACTGAAAGCAATCTCCTGGAGACCAAGACTAATCAATGTCAGCGGGGGAAGCACTTCCAAGAGCATACACAGTAATCACCTGCAGATGTGACAGCATCACGAGTCTAGCGTGTTCCCTGCGCATGTGCGCCCAGGCTGCTGGCTTCTTGCATCACACTGCTTGCTTCCCTGCGGTCCTCACTGGACTGGGCAGAGGAAGGTATGGGCCGCCAGTGGGGGGTGAGACTGTAGATCCATGAAGTATGCTAATGATCTCAGAGGGAAGGCTCAAGATAACATAAAAGCTGAAAAATGGACTCAGGACAATTTCCAGACCGCCTGGATGAGGCCAAGGCCATAAGAACGTGGACAACGTGGGGCCTGCACGTTTTAGGTGGAGAGAAGTGAGCTTGAAAAGACATTACAAAGCCAACTTTAACATCCATTGTAATGCATGAAGTTCCCGCCCCACCCCCCTTTTAGATCATCCCCTTAAAGTAATTTCTGTGCCCTGGCCAGTGTTGCTCCGTGGTTGGGGTATTGTCCCATGCACCAAAGCATCGCGGGTTTGATTCCCAGTCAGGGCATATACCCAGGTTGCAGGTTCAATCCCTGATTGGGGTGTGTGTGTAAGGCAAACCAATCAATGTTTCTCACTCACATCGATGTTTCTCTCTCTCCCTCTCCCTTCCTCTCTCACTACAATCAATGAAAAACATCCTCAGGTGTTTTAAAAATAAATAATTCCTGAAACTTGGGTGGAAGAAAAGTGACCAATTGCTTTTCAAGAGGGTCAAATAAATGTATAGTCCTGCCAGCAGAATAAAAGGGTATAAAGTAGTAGCCATTTGGGACTTTATTCTTGAACACTTCTGAAGAGGAATTGGTTATATGTTGTGCTGATATGGAGAGATCTCCAAGATCTATGGCAATTTAAACAAAAACAGGGTGCAGGACAATAAATGTATATAGCTATCATTAATATGGTGTCAGTGTGGGTATGTGTGTGTGTGTATAATCACATTTTCCATGTATGATTGATTACATAAACTATTAATAATGTTAATTCTGAGGAGGTGAAATTTCAAAGCTGAGATGGGTTAAGACATTTTTCATCATATACCTTTTGGTACATTCTAAAGTTTTTGTTATTTTCATTATAATTTAAATAGAAAAGGAAAGCAAAACCATCGAAAGACGAGGCCACAGCAGTGGTCAGGAGCTCACGCACGTGAGCTGTCACCTTTGCGCTGCCATTAGCTAATCATGTGACCCTGGGTGGGTGCCTTAGCTTTTCTAAATTCCAGTTTTCTCATCTGAAAAATGAAGAGCCATGTCAAAGGTTCTTAGCACTGAAGTATTTTGTATTTATAGGAAGGCACCATCCTGCCTCCTCCAGGCTCCAGACTGACAATCAAACCTTACTATGTGTTGTCAAAAACCAGGCATGCACTAATGGGTAGGGTGAAAATAAAGCAAAATAAGAGTGTCTCTGTATTTGAGAAGAACACTTATCTGCTCCTTTTGCCCCATTTTCAATGATTCCTTCCTCAAATAAATAGGGAGAGCCCCCGCCAGTGTGGCTCAGTTGGTTGGAACATCATTCCGTACACCAAAAAGGTGGCAGGTTCAACATAAGGGAAACAACCCACCAATGTTTCTCTCCTACATCAATGTTTCTCTCCTACGTCAATGTTTCCCTCTCTCTCTCTCCCCCGCCCCATTCCTCCCTCTTTCTCCTCCCTTTCCTTCCACTCCCTAAAAAAATTTTTAAATGAAACTTTTTAAAAAAATAACTGGGAAGAATGGCATCGCTTTTGAGGAAACATTAATTAGGGCATATCAAAGATAAATCAATAATGTTTACCCCAAACAAAAAAAATTATAAATATTAGTTCTACCAAAGCCCAGCGAGTGGGTCAACACAGGACCAGATCACCCAAAGAGCATTCTGAGTCCCCCTCCCACTGTGTGAGAGGAACACACACTGCATTTGGAATGTTGGTATCACTTCCTTCTGCCACCAGCACTCTCTGCATTCTTAATGGCCTCCTGCAACAGCTGGGAAGAATGATGTTTCTCCACCCCAACAAAAGGAAAAGTGTAAGAAGTAATTACCTCTCGTCATGGGATGGAATTCCTTGAGAAACAGTGTGCTTTACGCTCGCTAATGGATAGCATTTGTGCGTTACTCTTACTAATGCATTAAGCATCTATGTGCCAGCATATTTTGCCAAGACTATACTTTGGCACAGCCAAGTTCCACAACAGCCCCATGAGGTCAGAGTTAATATTATCTTCATTTTCCAGATAAAGAAATGGAGCCTCAGTGGAAAAGTGGCAAAACTACGATGCAAGTCCAGCTGTTTGGCTCCCAAAGCTGCGTTCTTTACTCTGTTATGTTGTTACCCTCCAACACTCATAACCTGAACCTTTGTTAATTTATCCAGAAAACATTTACTAGACGCCTACCACCTGTCAGACATTACTAGGCACTGGGATTGGAAGGACAAATATGACACAGACCCTACCCACCACACGGTTACAGCTTGCTAAGAAAGATAATCACGGAGACAAGGAATGAGGAGGCACATTTGTACCAAGTTCAGCTTTAACTGTTAAAAATGATTTAAAATGTTGTATGTCTTTTTTTTTTTTAAGTAATATGCTATCTGGATAATAATTACATTTCTTGAAGCTTATGCAAACCTAAGAGGACAAAGTGAGTTTAGTTTAGGCCAATACAGAGAGAGAAAAGAAACGAGTCTCATGTAACAGCTGCTTGGATATTCTCCCCTCCTCGTGCAGATTCTTTCCTAAAACCATCTCCCCTTTTGGATGTTAAGAAAAAAAAAAAAATCCTTAAAAACTGCATTCGGGCACATCCAGAGGTTTTACTTATAGTTACTTAGACCTGAACAATCATGGTGACTGGGATGCAAGAGCATGAAACCATGTTCCCATTCCAGCAAGATGGAACACTGTACCAGGCTGCCTCACCTGCATGCCTGCGACAGCCGTCTGTTACCACGGAATTTCTCTTCATAACCTACCTCCTCATTTTCCCAGGAAAAGGGATGCCAAAAGGCAAGCCCCAGTGGAAAAACATTTGCACAGAATGCGAAGGAAAGAATCCACATCTTTAACATATTAAGAGCCTAATAAACGTTCATATCTTTGATCCAACAATCCTACCTCTAAGAATACACCCAAAGGAAATAGTGAGGAATTCAAACTCAGGGTTATGTACGAAGAGGCTCATGATAGCATATAACAGAGGAAAACTGAAATTAACTAACTGAATAATGAACTAAACGGATCTGGGACATCCACTACAATGCATACACGCATGGGAATTCAAAGAAAACTGGCAGGAGAACACATGAGAGGTAAGTATCCAAGAGAATCATTTCAGTGTCAGGGGAATAGGAGCACTGCTATTTATCTTGATTCTCATCTCATTTTTTTTTATAATGTTCTAATATTCTATGTATTTATAATTTTCTATGTCAGGCATATGTTTTGTAATGTGTTAATTATAAGTACATATGTGACAGACACACGCACAAACTCTGTTTTCTGACACGAGTTTGCTACCAAACATGTTTGGAGGCAATTGCTCTATCACACAGGCCACTCCAGCTGCTCTGGCAACAGCTCCTCCACAGGAGGAGGCCGCCAGAGACGGTGTGGCCATCGTGGGCCTCCTCCAAACGGCCGGCAGCATCCCCAGACACTTTACTTTGTGCAAGTGAAGCCTATCAGAACCTGCAATTACAGTTTGCTGGATGTTACGAGTTCTCCCCAATGTGCCCTGACTCAGAAATCGCTAAAAGGTGGATGAAGCCCAAGTGCACACATTCCAGTGGTAAAGCATTAAAACAGAGCAGGGCAGGCACGACTCAGACTTTAAGTTAAATCCTGTGTCTACAGGACTCCGTCTCTGTATTGATTTCTGAAGGCAGGTCACACCTATTATACAATTCACCAGGTGATTCATGCTCTTTTTGAGTTTCTAAAACATCTGTCTCAAGGTTCATTCAAAAGGACCAAATTCCTGGGGTCGCCTTTGATTAAGTTAAAGCAGTTAATCCTGGTCGTCATGCCAGATGGCCAGAAAAGAGTGCGCATGCACACACACACACACACACACACACACACACAGAGGCTCTCCCTTTGGCCAGGGTCCTTGGCTAAAAGCCTGGCTTACAGTCTCCTAGAAGCTGGAAGGGAAAATACTGAGGGTGAAAGCACGGATGCCAATGATAGCCAGGATCCCACCCACTGCGCTCAGACAGCACCAACAGCAACAGCAGACAACCACTTGCTGCACGCTGATCACGTGTGTGGCGCAGCCTTCCCATTGCAAGCTCACGGTGGCCTCCAGAGGCTACGTCACAGATGAAGACCCTGGGGCAGAAAGGGGCGAAGTAAGGCGCCCACCATCAGCCAGCTGGGAGAGTGATGGAGCCAGGACCAGCAGCCACAGCCCTGCCTCACCCTCGGTGTGCCCTGTCCAGGCTGAGAGGCTCCCCAGGTGGAAAGGGAGTACTGTCCTCTCACAGGCACGGCACATGCTCACTTTCACAGCCTTCAGCCTCCATCATATTCCCCACAGTTGCTATTGTGATGACCATCCCCCACCAATTCTCAGTCACATGCTGTCCACGTGCCAGCCCCTCTGAGATCAGGACCTATCACCTCACAGCCCCAGGTGGCCAGGCAGCAGACATGAGAGAGCTGTCAGTGCTCCTATGCACAGATATCTATTGTTTCATTTAGTGCTATGTATTGTTTTGGTATGCCCTCTTGCCCTATCAGTTTCTAGAATAAGAATATATATTCTGCGTAGCATAGAGCACACGGTATAATATATTTTTTGGGTGAATGGGTGAATAAATAAATGGATTAGCAAATGAATTACTGTAGGTTGCTTTAAAGAAAAAAGTAGGAATCTTTTAGAATCACATTTAGACCCTGTGGCACTAACGTCTTTGTTTTTCTCCCATCCCTTCCTTTAAAAAAAAAAAAAAAAAAAAAAAAAAAATATATATATATATATATATATATATATATATATATATATATATATATTTCAAAGAGGAAGGAAGAGGTAGAGAGAGAGACAGAAACTTCAATGGTGAGAATCATAGATTGGAGGGAGGAATGAAGGGGAAGGAAGGGAGAAAGAAAGAGTCCAACTCACGGTATCTTTTTTTGAAGTATGCAGATTAAAGAAGGCAAGTTTTTCTATTATTTCGGCATTGATATCTGATTTTCTATCATTTCCCCTCTCAGCTGCCAAAAGAAATGGTTTTCTTCCTTTCTGAAAATCTACCATAAACTTCGACTGTGTGTGTGACACATTTACTGAACAAGCAAGACAACTGACAAGGGAGGCCGCATTCTGAGGGCGACCGGAAACCAAGATGGTGCTTGTGGTCATGGCATTCGGGGCCTCCTTGGGGAGATTGATAACAACCAGACCCGGTTCTGAGCGACTGCCCAGAACTTTGGAAACTTCCAGAATCATCTGATGGGGGCAGAGAAGTGCTGCTCAGAAATGGTCTCCCCCAGCACCTAGGCAAGTGCCACCTCACAGCCAGACAAGATTCCCTTTCAGAGGGAGCAATTTTACCAACTTCCCACCTTTACTGAACAGTTCCTTCAGGCAAGTATTTAGCAGGAAGCTATTATGTGCCAGTCTGTCTTGGGCACCTGCACATCACACAGTAAGCCTTGCCTTCCTGACAAAAATGTCTGAAGCAGAAATTTTCCATGGCTCAATATGTACCTGGCTCATTCAAACATGATAGCTTATCCACTGCTCTGTTGTAGACCTTGCTGACTTGCTCATATGTTTATCTCCAACATTCACTAAGAATCAACAGGAAAACTCTTAAGAACAGCCTATATGAAATGGAATCAAGAAAGTAGGCATTATTCAGCCCTGGCCAGGGTGACTCAGTTGGTTGAGTATCATTCCATGCGCCAAAAGGTTGCTGGTTGAATTCCCGGTCAGGGCACACACCCAGTTTATGGGTTAGATCCATGGTCAGGGTACATAAAAGAGACAACTGATTGGTATTACTCTCTCACATCAGTGTTTCTCTCTCTCTCTCTCTCTCTCTCTCTCTCTCTCTCTCTCTCTCCCTCCCTCCCTCTCCCTTCCTCTTTCTCTAAAACTAATAAAAACATATATAAAAGTAAATAAGTAAATAAATAAAATATTTAAGACTGTCCATAAGAATAGAAACTGGAGGCTGCTAGCGGCTTTCCCACCTTGTGGAGAGTATACCTATCAGTAATGCCAACAGAGAGACAGCCAGGAGAGAGATCCAGCCATGCCTGAAGCTAACCAGGTACTAACCCTCAAATTAGGAGTTAATACATTACCTTATTTCTTAATCTAGATTAAGCTGCTCCCCCCCCCTCCCCTCACTCATAACAGAAAGAATTCTAACATACTTAGTAGATTGAGGACAGACCCTACTAAGAGTATCTAAGGGCTCTGTTCAACTTTAAAATGGCCTTATTCTTTTACCTTTGCCACACAGTCTTGCCTTTCTGCATATTGAAACAAAGTGATAGAAGGGCCACCCACAAAGACTAGCCTGGCAGGAAAAGGGAGGTTATCACAAATGGAACATCTGTCCTCGCCAATAAAACAGTTGTTCCTTTAACCTTTGAATGCCCTTTAAAAACGTGACCATCAACAACAAGTGAAAGCCAATTTACACAAAGTAATCTCTATCTTTCAAACATCAAAAATATCATAAAGTATACAATATTAAGTTAAAGATCTAACTGGCTTTATTCAGCAGTTCACGAATCGGGCAGCAGCATCCCCTCTAGTAAACAGAAAATACCAAAAATAGCCTAAAAAAAACACAGTAAAATGAGATATCTTTTCTACCATCCTAGTACATGGAGGCAAAATAACAACAGAAATTTTTAAATAAATGTATTTACATATAGTTTCTGATCATGTCATTTCATTTCTCGCCACCTGACCCTTTTTGACTGCATCGGCCTCTATCTGCTGCCTCTCACAGGACTGCCTCTCACCAGCAGGAACGGAGAGCCTGGTGTTGGAGCCTTCCCAGCTCGGGTTACTGATTCCCTTTCCTGTTAACAAAAATAAGGAGGGCCCAGCATGCTGCTCCTTTTTACCTGGATTAACTTAATGTATATTTAACCTAACACGTTTTAATTTCGTGCATTTAAATTTTTTGCATGTAAGTCTTAAGAGTTGCAATGGTTGATTAGAAATTATATTTTATTTTATTTTATTTTATTTTATTTTATTTTATTTTATTTTATTTTATTTTATTTTATGGTTAACAGCATTACAGATGTCTCCCATTTTCTCCCTTTTTGTCCCCCTCCACTCAACCCCCACCTACCCCAGGTCTTCCCCATGCCATTGTCTGTGTCCATTGGTTATGCACATATGCACATATGTTCTTTGATTAATCTCTTTCTATTTTTCATTTTTAAGTTTACTGCCAAGGTCATCATATTTGACAAGTTACCAAATTCAGCAAAAATGTTAATAAACAGTCATTAATAGGCACCCAAAGTCTAGCCTGACCATCCATTCCCACAGGGCCCCCCAGACAAATCCATTCTATTAATAAGACCTCAGCACAGTAGAACTTTCCCTGCTACCCTGTTTCCCCCAAAATAAGACAGTGTCTTATATTAATTTTTTCTGCCAAAGTTGCGCTAGGTCTTATTTTCAGGGGATGTCTTATCTTTCTATACACTAGGTCTTATTTTTGGAGGATGTCTTATTTTCGGGGAAACACGGGTAGCTTTTGGAGTTCCCTCCATGCTAAAGAAAGGATGTCACTAAGCCTGGGCAGATAAGCAGGCTATAAACCGCTTTCTGTTGGTAAAATATTATAGTAGGCCAGAGGGCCAATCATGAAGGTAGAGCAGTCTTTTCTATCAAATGTGTTCACAAGCTCCACAATACTTTTAAGCAAACACTGACAGAAAACCTAAGATAAATTCATAGACCCTGAGCTCCCACTAGCTTTTGCCAGCATCCTTCATCCCACCCACAGATCTTAGAAAAAGAGTAGCAATCCAAGTTTCTTATAGTAGTAAAAGTGGACTCAGAGATTCTTCTCTTCCTAGATGACCCAGTGGGCTCATTATTTGTTCATTCCTCATATATCTCCAGAGCCATCTTTCTTCTACAGTCTCTCAGCGGGACATGTAGCTTACACAATTTGTTGCCAGAGCTACTCAGCCTTTTACCCAACAGATAGTCAGAGGAGGAGGAAGAAGGGTGGAACAGGACAAACCCAAATCAGCTGAAGAGATGAAACACAGCCTTTCTATGTAATAAAAGTGTAATATGTAAATTGACCAAATAGTGGAATTGCAGGTCGCTATGATGTGCACTGACCACCAGGGGGCAGATGCTCAATTCAGGAGCTGCCCCCTGGTGGTCAGTTTGTTCCCATAGGGGGAGCTCTGCTCAGCCACAAACCGGGCCGATGGCTGGGGAGTGCAGTGCCTGTTCAGCGGCAGCACTAAGGATGTTTGACTGCAGCTTAGGCCCACTCTCCATGGGCCTAAGCCATGAGTCAGACATCCCCCAAGGGCTCCTGGACCATGAAAGGGCACAGGCCAGGCTGAGGGACGCCCTGCCCCCATGCAGAGATGTCATGCACCAGGCCTCTAGTTTGATAGAAAAGACTGCCCCACCTTCACAAAGGTTGCTGGCCAGCAGAAGCTCTTGAAATAGGAGAGGATCCCCACAAATGTGCTTCTGTCCTTGAGCCCCTTCAGCCCGCCTGGTCCTCCCCACACACTGCTGTCTCCCATGAAAGCACCCATAGTCCACGGAAAGGGAAGACAGTTGCATGTCTTGTATATGACACGCCCTCAACAAATACTTGTTGAATTGAACTGAATAGAATTCATTCGTGCACCCCTACTCAGCATCAATCAAATCAGAGTGACCCACCTTTCCCCTGACACTAGATGCTATCTCTGTAATTATCAGTTTGAGGAAACCAGATAGTGGACTTTATCCTATAGTAATTCTTATAAATGGCTACCATTTAGTGAGCACTTACCCTGTGCCAAGTGCCTTTTGCTAAGTGTTTTAGTCATTAACTCATTTAAGTGTTCCAACAGTAGCTGCTCCAACATTTGCTACATAAGAATGTCTTAGGGGTAGTGTCTGATTGGAAAGAGGTGATGGAATGGCTCACCATGAAGCTCATCAGCATGGCTATTTTTACATAACAATTGGCAAAATACCAATTATCTACATCAAGAAATTGGGGTGTTGTTGAAAAAAAATAAATTATATGGAGGTCAACCCCCTCCAATCACTCCCTTGGTGCTACCAGGAAGTAGGTTTTATCATTCCCATTGTACAGATACTGAGGCTTTCAGCAGTTGGAGAACTTGCTCAGAGCCACATAGATAATATATTCCCAGGCCATAGCCCAAGTCTCTCTGCCTCCAAGCTATAAATGTATAGTTGCTTAGTCATGCTGAGAGGAAGTAAAAGAAATTTATAGACTTTATTTGAAGAAATCATTTTTATTATTGTTGTTTTTAGACTGAGGTCAGGAAAAAAAAATGTACAAGTTTTTTCAAAAGAAGTAAAATGAAGTAAATATTGCTGACTAATTTTTATGGAAAATAAAATAATGAGCCCACTGGGTCATCTAAGGAGAGAAGAATCTCTGAGTCCATTTTTAGTACTGTAAGAAATTTGGATTGATCAATTCATAGACAAAGTCTACTCTTTTTCTAGGATCTATGGGCACAGTGAAAAAAAAAGGTTGTTTCATTCAAAATAAAAATGCCAAAAAAAAAAAAAAAAGCCAACCTCACAGAAAATGTTATATCCTATGAAAAACGCCAAGGAGGTATTCCAGAGAAAAGACAATCCCTAGCACATGGATGGCCACTGTCATCTGAAAAGGGACACAGTGCCGCACAGTAACTGGAGTCAGCCAGACCTGAACACACGACCTGGCTCTTTCACTTTCCAATTCTGGGACTTCAGATCAAGTACTTAGCCTCTCTGAGCCTCAACCTCCTTACCTTTAACAATGAGCACGCTGTTTTCTTCATTATAAAATTATTGTGCAGATGAAGAGGATAGCTCAGTCATTCAGCAGTGATTTGTTTAACATCCGTGTGTGCCAGGCTCTAGCCTCTCACCGAAATAATGAATGCAAGTAGCTTTCCTCTGTACGCAGCACACTAATAACTACTCAAAAGTGGTAGCTGTTATTCTACCTCCTTATGGAAAGAAAAGAAACATAGACAAATATGATAAAACTGGTTAGAGCTAGAGCAGGCCAGAGAGCCACAAATTATATTCCATGGCTCATTACTGTAGAGCCTTGGGTCAAATACATTCCTAAAAGGCTGGCATGATAGAGTAAAATGTGGTTACCCATTGTGAATACCAAACAGTTGTGGCTACTGCCCACACCCCTGCCAGGATGAGGGAGTGGAGAGGGAAAAAGGGATCTGGTGGCTTCCTTACTACCTCCTGCCCTCCCACATGCTGGAGCCAGAGCAATAGCCAGCACCCGCACTTCCCTTCTGCTCCATGGTTCTGCCAGGGCGATGGAGGAGCTGGCTGCAGGTTTGTGCTGGCTGCACTGGCATTCCAGCAGGGGCAGAAAGAAAGGGAAAGTTTTAGGGGTGCATGTGAGGCCGGTCCTACCACAGCAAGCACACCTCATCAGGCTGGTTCAGGTCCTTCAAGTGCAGATCTTGAATGAGGTGCCCCACAATGCGCACATTATTGCTCTGAGCTGCGAAGGGAAGGGCCTTCATTCCATCCCAGGGTAGAGGAGATCATCACATAGTGGTTTCAAGACCTCCCCTTCTGCACGGTGAGGCGAGAGCTTATGTCCAGGTGTGATGCACATACCGACCTGATTCGTGGCTCTCTGGTCTGCTCTAGCTCTAACAAGCATGAGCATGACCTCAAGGCTTCCAGACCAGGCTGCAAGGTGAATTACTGTCAAGCCATGCTTTTCCAAGAAGAGAGAAGAAAAGAACACAAGATCTGAAGTCACCAAAAGCCAAGTTAATAGTCAACTGTTGAAAATTAAGAAACGGGAAGAGAATTTCATATACAGCAAAGATGATATTTCATTTCTATGGGGAAAACAAATCAATGGTGCAGGCACAAGTGGTTCTCCATTGGGAAGAAAATAAAATTAACTCCTGTATCTTATCAAAAACACACAAAAGCACACGAACAATAAATATATTAAAAGAAAATCTAGACCACAATGCACAATATCTTAATCCAGAAGTTATAAAAGGAAAGACTGTTGATAAAGTCCATAAACAAAGGATTGATTCTCTAAACGTTTCTTAATAAAGATAAATCATTACTTAATCTATGAAGCACTCTTACAAAACATCAGGAAAAACGCAATTAAACCAATTGAAAAATGTACCAAAAAAAGGTATCAGTGGAAAATGAAACCATTATAGTTAAAGCAATCTGGCAATCTTTGTTAAAAATTTAAATAGAACCAGCAATCCCACTTCTGGGAATCTATCCCATGAAAATAAGTTTTAAGACTTAATGTTATATCAACAAGGATATTAATTTTAACCCTTAAAATTGGGAGCAAGGTAAATGTCTACCAATATAGGAATGCTGAACAAATTAGGGAACACATCATGCAGCCATTAAAAATCATGAATTAGAGCTATAACAATTGACTTGGAGTGCTTTTTATGAGGTAGCTGTTAAAATATAAAAAAATAAGATGCAGATAAAATATAACATAATCCCATTTTTATAAAACAAGCAATGACCAGAAAAACTCATAAGTCTATATGTCTATATAGTTGGTCCTCCATATCTGCAAGTTCCACATCTGTGTATTCAACAAACTATAAATTTAAAACATTTGGGTAAAAAGTATTATATTGTTGCTGATGTATATTATGCAGTTAGGCCTACATAGTCTATTTAAATATTTACAATTCCAGTAAATAAAGAAAATGTACTCTTTTCTTCAAGAAACAGCAATGTACAATAACTAGTTGAGGTTCTTCAAGAAATGTGCCCTACACACAGTTCCTCCCATTTATTTACAATTAATGCTTTATAATCAATAACACTAAGTCCAGTTTCAAATACGGTAAAAAAAAAAAAAAAAAAAAAAAAGGGTCAGAAGTATTTGGGATAGAGGATAAATCACATTTTGATAGGAGCTCAAAATTTCTCTAAGAGGTCACTCCTAATTTCCAACCCACCAACACTTAAAGATTTCAAACACTGACCATAAAATCCAAAAGCCAGGAATTCAAGCTGCAAACAACTCGCGTCGCTGAAGCTATAAATTTGGAGTTCCAGTTCCTCAGAGTCAAGGAATCACCGCTCACAGATGTCCATTCCCCCACGAGACACTCTAAAACTAAGTCTTACACTATCAAACTGACACGCCCGAGACAGTTTATGAGCACGTGTCATGGATTACGTCACTGTTGATCCACGGTGCTCTGTTCAGTATCAAATGCCCACCGCCACTAACAACCTGTCCTCGTTACCAGTCTGGTCATAGGTGAGAAGGCCAATAACTTCGCCTGGGAGCATTTGCTCTTGAGGAGTTACCTAGAAATAAGAAGTTCTGAGAGCAGATGATGGTCATTTTTCTCTGAGCATCATGTGCACTCTACCTGGGATCCTTTGTTCATACCTGGAAGAAGAGATCCCTTTTACCTATTCTGCCTCTTCCCAAGACTCTGGAATGCTACCCAGTTTGAACCTGGAGTCCTCAGCATCTGGGCTATGCATTTGATCCATATCATGCAGTGGCTCAGTTGGTACACATCTGTAATATCCTGGTCCTTGCTCCCCTAAGAGGTTATAGGCCCCTCAAAGCAGGGACTGTATCTCATGCCAGTCCTTTCAGACATAATCACCTGAGGATCCTGTTAAGTCACAGATTCTAATTCAAAAAGTGAGGGGTGGGCGGGAGAGCCTGTATTTCTAAGAAGCTCCCAGGTAATACCAGTGCTTCTGGTCCAGGACCACACTTTGAGTGGCAAGAACTTGTATCTAGTTGAATCCCCAGAAGTTGGCATTGAGACTTACCCACAACAAGCACTGAATAAATACTGATGGTGAAGGGCTTCATTTATTGACTCTTTGCAAACAGGTTTTAGACTTTATTTGAAGAAATTGTTTTTATTATTACTTACAAAACAGATTAGCCAAGTCAAAGTCAGGGATCCTCAACCAAACAAAGAAGCTGCCAGGTCAGACCAAACATGGCATTGCTTGAATTAAAAAATTTTCATTCCCACCAGCCATATAGCAGAGTTCCAATTGTGCAGAAACAACTGCAACTCTGCTATATGGCTGGTGGGAATGAAAATAGAACATCCACCCCAGAAAACTGTCTGGAAGCTTCTGGTATATCACTTACTATATGACCCAATAATCTCAGTCCTAGGTACTTACACCTGAGAAATGAAAACCTACCTTATATAATAAAAGGCTAATACTACCAAACAGCAGAATAATTGGTTGCTATGATTCACACTGAGTGCTGTTCAGCCAGAAATCAGGCTCACAGCTGGCGAGTGCAGCAGCAATGGCAGCAACCTCTCTTTCCTCCGACAGGCTAACACTGAAACATAATCAAGCAACAAGTTCCAGACCTAAAATACATGTTCCTTAAGTACCATTACCATAACACAACTTATTACACTCACAGTGTTGGAATGCTTCGGATGTCAAATTTTTAAAAAGGGTATTTTTCATTCTGCTTCTGGTACTTGCCCCAAAATACCAGAGCAATACAATAGAGAGGGATGCACTCTACTGGTGAAACAAGGAGAAATTCTCATCATTGTCTGTCTAGACCACGTCTATAATTGCCAACAAAGCAACAAAATGATCAATTGGTTTAAACAGACCTCATTCATTTATCTTCCAAAGACTTACTGAGAACACACTAAACCCACGTCCTGAAGACATGAAGGCAGAGCAATGCTGAGCCTTACACTCCTAAGAGTCATTTCAGAGAGAAAGGAGACTAGCTCTGCGGAGTACCAGAAAAAGTTGGGAGAAGTGGGTGGGAATTCCTCACGATGGGTTTTCATATCTGAGCAGACACATTGGCTAATTTGTGGGTTAATGGGATGATCTCTGGAATCAGTTAAGCCAGGTCCAAATCCTGCCTCCACCCCTTCTTAGACATAATTTTTGGGGGCAAGCTATTTAGTCTTTCTCAGACTCCACATCTGTAAATTAGTTATTATAGTATTACTTTTCTTGCAAGTTTGAGGGACTAAATATTCAAATTCTAAGATTGGTACCTAGTATATACTACAAGTTTATTAAGCCTTCTTTATTTTCTTTCTTTCTTTCTTTCTCTCTTTTTTTTTTTATATGGAATGCTTCAGGAATTTGCATGTCATCTTTGCTCAGGGGGCATACTAATCTTCTCTACCATTCCAATTTTAGTATATGTGCTCCCGAAGTGAGCACAAGCCTTATTTCTTTATCAGAGTTCATAGGGCAAAGTCAAGATTTAATGTCCCTGAGGCCAGTTAGCTTCTATCTTCCATGTCCCAAATTATACTCTGAGCAAGCATTTTATTTTTTACAAATGCATGCTACTAGCCATAATGTGAATATGGGAAAATAAATAAAAGCCTAAGCCCTATAGGCAATGGATAAACAATTTAGTCACCAAATACAGAGCGCATAATACGGGTACATATATTCTCAAAGAGACCTTTCCAAAATGAATACTGCCAATGGAAACGTTTTGTGCATGTGTGAAGAAAAGATAAACTGAAGCGACCAGGTTTCCCCCCACATTTGTTCTGCTCCAATTCATTCTGCCAAAGGAAGAGGAGCTCACCTTATCAGCAGCATCCACCCTGGCCTTGCAATTAAGCAAGAATTCCCCCACAGATAAATGATTTGCCCCCACTGCAAAATGCAGGGCTGTGCGGTTCCTCTGAGGAACATCATTGTGTTTTCAGTAATCTGATTTTTATTTAGCCTTTTCTAAGATGCCAGTTTGTATCAGGTGCTTGTATTTTTATTACTTCTCTATTCGTTTTTGCCATTGAAAGCAGTGAGAATTGTATCTAGCATAATGTTGCTTTCATTATCAGAAATGCCAGAGAATTTGGCAGTCCACTGGAGGAGATGCCCCACGTTGAAATCTATTGCATAACTCGTCGTTGCTTGTAACAGAAAAATGAATTTCCAATTAGAGTAAAAGTTGTGTTTTCCCCATATGCAATCATTAAAAATGGTAAATGTTTTCTGGTTAGAATATATTGATAATGCATAACAAAAGTTTTCCTAGATTTTCAATACATATGTACGTGGTCTTTCGTCTGCAATTTTTTGGACTTTAAATTTTACTGAAGCAAACAAATTCTTCTGAAAGGAAGGGAATGGGGAAGAAAGGAGAAAGAAATAGGCACAGAGAAAGAAAGCTATGGTGCTAGCTGGTTTGGCTCATTGGATAGAGCATTGGCCTATAGACCAAAGGATCCTGGGCCTGATTCCAGTCAAGGGCACAAATCTCGGTTGCAGGCTCTGGGGGACATGCGGGAAGGCAACCAATCAATGCATCTCTCTCACATTGGTGCTTTTCTCTGTCTCCCTCTCTCCTTTTCACTCTCTCTAAAAATCAATGGGAAAAATATCTTCGGGTGAGAATAAAAAAAAGAAAGCGATGGATATCTTTTGCTTCAAAGGAAAGCCACTATGGTGCTTCTGAGATGTCCAAAGACAGTTTAATGTGTTTCAAACAATGGATGTTTTGCTTGCAAATAAAACTCGTCTCATACTTCCCATTTTCTAGACACTGTTTTCTGCTTCCAAAGAAAGTGCCTGGGCATTGATTTACTATCCTTTGTTTCATATAAAAAATTTATTGCAAAAATATGAGAATCGTTTAAATTAAACATCTGATTTCCTTGGTAGCTAAACTGGTGATAAACTAAGTTTGACAAAACATTACTTATCTTGATGTTGCCCGAACTCTAGAGCAATGTTGAAATATGTCAAATTTGGGCTTATATAACCCCTTAACTTTATTTGTGAATAAAAATGCAAGTCAAAACAGCATCCAAGATAATTCAATAAAACCACCTACAGTTTTTCATCTCTATCATCCCAGATTTTAAGGAACATTACAAGTAACCATGTCAACAATTTACTGTAAACAGGTCTAATAGAGATGTCATTATAAAGAATAATACCATTCACCAGGAGTTTGTAATAATTTGCCATACTAACTATAAAGTGGTCTAGATTGTACTGTTTCTTCAAGTACTTTAATATAAAAATATGGTTTAAAATATCAGGAAGTTATATGTAAAAAGAAAATGAAATTGTTATAAAATTATACTGAATAATCTATTTCCTGCTTAATCTATTTCCTGGAAAAATGATTACAGTAAAAAATTATTATCGCTTTACTTATTCAACAATTAACCTAAACAACAGTTTCAAAGATCCTTGCTTTTTTTTCCCCCTCTCCTTTTTTCCCTTGATTTCTTTTTTCTTTTGTTTTAGTACTTTTAGTTACTAAAGTTATGATGCAAAATTTTGTACTTCTAGCAGAATGTTGTCTGCAGAACCCTGTGCAGATGCCAGGCCTGTCAAAGCAAAACTTTATATATATATATACACACACACACCAGTAACACATCAGACACCCACACATGTACATAATATACACATAAACACATATCCCCTCACATACTGGTACACACGTGAATAACTGCTAAACATCCTTCCCCTACATATGATATAAGACTTCAGTTTCTATGACCTCACTGCATGGGGCAGATCCAGGTTTTGTGGAACCTGAAGTTCACACTCTTTAGGGAGCCCCCCATTTAACGTCAGAGTCAGAAAACTTAATCAATTGTAGTTAAAATTCCTCACTTCTTCATATTTTATGGGGCTGCCTTTAGATTTTACATGTGGGAGAACCAACACACAGCACATAACTGGGAGAAAACAACCCAGAGATGTAGCAAAAAAAAAAAAAAAAAAAAAAAAGGTGACTTTGGCCTTCTCAGAATGTGTGAGGCCAAAGTCAGCCACAGCCTATCATCTAGGACCACGCCCAGGCCCTCAGCCTTGACAGTGGCTTTGCTGGCCACCCACAGACTTTGCACAGACGTGCATGAAGGCCGCATGCACGTCCCCTCTGTAAGGTAAAGTGGCCCTCGCAGAGCCTATTCCAGTGCTGACTTCGCCATTAGCACAAACACTCTGGAATTACCGACAAAGGAGATCTCCCTCATTTCATCCAGCACAATCCTTTTTATTTTTATTATATTTCAGTGAACCTGTGTAAACCCAAGCCACCCTTAGAGTAGTCACTGTCACATTAGTGAATTCTGCTCACATTGTTCACAGCATTCATGTTAACCTTCTTTTCAAACTGCTTCTCCCTAAGATCCAAATTATTGCTTTTGGCAGCATTCTGGAGGCTTCTCTCATTTGGCAATACTGAAAGCAAGCAACAAAGCGTGACTTGGGGTGGGGATTTAAAGAGGGTGAGGAAAAAACAAACCTCATTTGGTAAACCTTTTCACTCTATAAAAACTTGAAACTACAGGCTTGAGCCTTTCTCATTCTGCCATTCTGAACATGGGAACTTTGCTTCAATGTTTTATAAAGCTGTAGTGCTGAGATGCTGCTTTCTTCTCGCACTACAAGTGTTTTCACACGCTTAGAAATATCCCTGGTCCCAACAAACAATGATTCCCGAGGACCACCCTGAAGTCAGCAATGCAGTATCTGGCTCCGGGAGGCTGGGGGCTGGCCAGGGACTCCCCAGGGGACGTTGTTTATAAAATGTTTATACAAGATTAGACGGGGAGCAGCTCAAATGCTCCACACAGAGATAAAAATGTTGTCTGCAGAACCCTGTGCAGATGCCAGGCCTGTCAAAGCAAAACTTTAACATGCAGCACATCCTGAATCCCTAATTCGAAAGAACATGTGCACCCCTATGTTCACTGCAGCGTTATTTACAGCAGCCAAGATACCAAGTTGTCTATCAGTAGCTGTGGTACATTTACACAATGGAATATTACTGGGCCATTAAAAGAAAAGAAATTTTGCCTTTTGTGACAGCATGGATGGTCCTGGAGAGTATTATCCTAAGTGAAATAAGCCAGTCAGAGAAAGACAAATACCATATGATTTCACTTATATGTGGAATCTTATAATTAACAAAACAAATTCATAAATTGGAGACAGACTCCTAAATACAGAGGAAAGACTGACAATTTTATTAACCAAAAGACTGTATAATTTTATTAACCAAGAGGCCTCCGTGCACTGGTGGGGCTCACAATCCAGGACCCCTCAGGGGATGTTGGACTGCCAGTTTCGGCCCAGTCCCCACAGGCCAGGCCGAGGGACCCTACCAGTACATGAATCCCAGCACCAGGCCTCTAGTATGCATATAACAATGTTTCCCGAACTTTTGACATATGTGTACCCCTTCTATAATTTTCGTAACGCTGAGTACCCCTCGTACTCATGAGAACGTAGAATTAGGGGCAGCTAAGCACGATGCAGTGCATATCCCCACCAAACTCTGGTACAACACGTACCCCCACCAAACTCTTCCCGTACCGCTAGGGGTATGCGAACCACACTTTGGGAAACACTGGCATATAAGATCTTTGGTTAATCTCTTCCCACCTTCCCCCTCCCCTTCCCTCTGAGATTCATTAGTCTGTTCCATGTTTCCAAGCCTGTGCATTGAGCGTCTTCCCCCCGGTGGTCAGTGCACATCATACCTACCGATCAAACAGTCAAATGGTCGAGTGGTTGCTTAGGCTTTTATAGGTACATGTAACCCAATAAATTCAGTGAAAAAATAAAATAAGATAAAATCTAGCACATCATATAAATATATACAAAGGCTAAAAGGGATGAACGTGTTTTATCCTCATTTATATGAAAGGAGATAAAAGTAGATTCACACATATACACATTCATATACACATTACCTAGCCCAGAGAAGATTCGGAATTTATTTATTTTTATGTAGGGGAAGAGAGGGCTTACAGAGGACAACCCAAGCTCTGGAGGATAAAGTCAGAATTGGAAAAATGTGAAATCACCAATAAACCATCTCCAACAAGAAAGGACTCACAGAGAGATTTTGTAGATGTATTGCTGAGTAGCTTCCCTAGCATCTACCAGACTCTTTGTAATGCCTCCAAGTTCGCTCAAAGACCAGGGAGTGTCTTCATTCTTTCCTATCACCTGGATTCCTCTCTCCTTCCACCCCCTACTCATATATATATATATATATATATATATATATATATATATATATATATATATATATAATCTTATTGATTTTTCACAGAGAGGAAGGGAGAGGGATAGAGAGCTAGAAACATCCATGAAAGAGAAACATCGACCAGCTGCCTCCTGCACACCCCCTACCAGGGATGTGCTCGCACCCAATGTACATGCCCTTGACTGGTATCGAACCTGGGACCCCCCAGTCCGCAGGCCAACGCTCTATCCACTGAGCCAAACCGGTTTCAGCCACCCCTACTCTTGTTACCACCTTGTAATGTCTCAGTTCCCTGCTCCCTGCCCTAATAATCTTACCCTCTATCTGACCTCAGTCACCCTATTCCAGGGTCATCCTCTTGACCTGCTCATCCTCAAAAACTACTCTACTTGTCACATCTCTCTTGGGCTCTGAATCCCACCCCTTCTCATCGGTTATTTCATATATCAGTTTCCTAGACATTATCCCCTTTCTTCTCTGAACCATTTACTCATTCCCCTCAAAACACTCAGCAATGCTATCATCCCTGCAGGGCACGCTCCCCCTCAGACTGTCTCCTAACCTCACATTCCTTCCCAACGTGGCTCAGTTTATACTATAAATGGATTCCTTTGCTTTAAGAACTTAAGCACAGAAAACTGACTTACTTAAAGTCACACAATAAATCAGCACATGAGTCAGGCTATGAGACAATAGCACGTAAAAACCCTTATTTGTAAAAGGGCTTAATCACTTCTATAAAAATTCTCTTCCTTATGTGGGAAGAACACGCTCCTTCCATTCATAGCTCAGGCCCAACCTGAGAATGTGAACCCAACAGGGATGGGGTGGGTTCAGGGGCTGAGGCTGGCGTCCGCGGAGGGAAGGGGGGGGTCCTCTGCCTGCCCCGTCCTCCCGCCCCCGCCTGACTGTGCAGACCTGGCCCTGGACTCACGGAGCTCGGAGCTGCCACCGCCTCCTTTTGATGTTCCTCCTGCTTGGGGCTCCTGGAAGGCCGCCCGCACGTCTTCCCTTTGGGGTGGCAGCTCCGCGACCCGGGTGCGCCTCCTGTGCTGCATGTCCGCCCGGCTTCAGGGCGCAGGTCCGGACACAGGTGTGAGGCCCGGGCTCAGGTGTGAGGTCCGCGCAGGTGTGGCGGGCACGTGACAGGACGTGGTTTTCCCTGAAGAAAAACATTCCGAGGAAACGCCCAGCGCATTCTCCAGCGATTCTTCCTACAGTGTTGAGAACTGTGGCAGTTGGATCCTAACCAGCACCACTGGAACTTCAGTATTAAACCATTTCCACATGGGCTTCCAGGATTTTCTTTGGAATAGAGGGACACTCTCAAGTTCTCTTGGGGTGGAAGCCTGGGTGTCCCATGTTAATGCAGTTGTAATTTACTGGACTCCTTGTCTTGGGTATTATCACTTTCATGTAGTTTATATAATAACGAATTGTTAAGACACGTTAACCTACTTTGGGCAATCATGTGCCTGGCTAAAATTCTAATAATATGCAAGAAAAGTAGAATATTGAAGGACAACCAAGATCTCTGCCATAATCCCATAACGTGTCTAATGGATTGCAACCAAATAAAACCAGCTCACACCTGTGGAATGGCTCCAGCGGTCCTATTGGAAGTGCAGCATATTTCTAGGAGTGAAAAAAAAATGTGAGCCCTCATAACAAAACTACTAGATTTGACCCCGAACTAGCCCACCTTTTTTGTATGTGTACTAGTATGCACAGATTCGCAGGTACACAGACCTAAGAGAAGGGAGAGAGCCCTGGCCGGTTCTTCTCAGTGGATAGAGCATCAGCCTGTGGACCAAACGATCCCGGGTTTGATTCCAGTCAAGGGCATGTACTTTGGTTTTAGGCTCCTTCTTGGCCAGGGCCCTGGTCAGGGCTCCTGCAGAAGGCAACCAATCGATGTGTTTCTCTCACATCGATATTTCTCTGTCTCTTCCATTCTCTCTAAAAGTCAATGGAAAAATGTCCTTGGGTGAGGATTAACAAAAATAATAAATAAAAGTGATTAAATGTTGAGACAGAGAGAGAGAAGAGAGAGAACTGATGAAAATTGGAAAGCCAGAGATTAGGTAACTGCTAAGGGGTGATAAAAGGTACAGAAAGTAGTGGTTTTCAAGAGGCCCCACAAAAGTAGACAAAATTCAATAGTAGACATGAGTTTGACAGAGTTTGTGTGTGTGTAATGTATGTATATCTATGTATACATATGTATGTGTGAGTTTGAAATTATAGTCAATTTTAGAGGCTGCAGTTAGAAAGGTTTAGCACCATTTGCTTCTAGATTATCTTCTGTCGCCCTGTGCCTTCTGTGGACAGCAACAATGAAATACTAACACTGTCATAAATTGTAAGGGGGACAAGTTCAATATTGTGGTTTGCTTAATAAATGGAATCATGTTTCCAATTCTCACCATATTATTAAGGTTTTTCTTAAACTGCTAACCCAATTATATATTACAAAGCAAAAGTGATTATTTCTTAATTATGCAACAAAGGACATTTTGTGCCCCAGATTTGTCATAAAGCTATAGTAACAAGATAGCTTAATAATAATGTCACTATAACTTTATAAAAAATCATGGCATGTAATAGGACCTGCCCTTCCACCTTATTCTTGAGCTTTTGCTTTTCCATATAACATTTAGGATCTACTTAACTCCCAAGAAAAAACATGAGGGATTTTGTTTTTATTTTCACTGAATTTATAGAACATTTTGGGGGAGAATAGTTTTATCACCTTTCCTATCATGAAGTCACTTTTTTTTCATTTCCTCAGATATACTAATGACCTTTCAGTAATATTTTGTAGTTCCCAAGTTCTTGCATATTTCTTGATAGATACCTACCATTTAGGTATCTTGTAGATTGTTGTCATATAAGAGATTATTTTTATTATATCTTCTAATTGGTTATTACAGTCTAGGAATGCTATTCATTTTGTATACTGATCTTGTAGTCATAACCTTGTTAAACTCTTATTAAATCTAGATTATTTGAAAAAAATGTAGACAAACACACTGACAATAAAGTTCTATTTTTATTTCTGTTTCCAATTTTCATTCATATTATTTATTAAATTGGCTAGGGCCTCCAACAAAATAATAAGAGGGCACCCTTGTGTTATCCCAAAGAAATGCTTCTAAAATTTCACCAGTGTGATAATTTATCTAGTTTTCAATAGGAATTTTTTATGGTACAGGTAGAATTAACAACAGACCCTGATTCGGTTTGGGGTGGCAATGGGTCCAGCTAAAAACTTCATTTTCTGGTTCCTTATATGGGGAATCCTTATTAGTTGTCCTATAATATGACAGCTTGAGATATGTGGAAATTATGTGGGGTTTCCAGGAAAGCTCCTTAAAGAGGAACAAATTTGTTGCCCTTTTTTAATTTTCACTTTCTCATCCTCCTGTCTGGAACTCACGTGGAGGGTTGGATGTGGAAAAGCCCATCTTGTGACCTCAAATCAACTGCGTGAGGCCAAGAAAATCGGAGGCTTCAAGTGAAAATTAAAACCGATTTTTTAAAAAAGCTCTTATTTGTGCCTTTGTAATCATAGCTGAAGTGAAACTCCGAACTCATACAGAAAGTAGGGTGCTGCAACAAAACCTAATAGTATATAGAATTGGCTTAGTGTCTGAGGGAGAACTTTGGGCAGTGAGGACACAAATATCACTGGCTGAAAAGCTGGTGACTTATTTGATGGTGACAAAGTATTAGGTCAAATTGTCAACTGCTGTCCTTTGGAAGGCAGACCACATGCTGACTGAGGCTGTAGTATCAGGAGAAGTATTAGAAGAAAAACTCGAAGTGTTGGTATAGGATGGCACTTTCTTGCTGTGTTCAGCAAAGTCCTAGAAGAGAGAAATGTACTTTTTCCTCTATTGAAGTTAGGAGCCTGCAGAGATGGAGGAAAAGCAGATGAACAAAGCAGTTTCTACCTTTTTTTTTTATTGTGATATAGGTCACATATGAACAAGAGTGCATAAAATATATTTGTACAGCTGAAAGAATATTTTTTAATGAACATCCAATCACCACCCAAGACAAGGAACAGAACACCGCCAGCATCCCAGAAGCTCCAGGTACCATTGCCCTACCTTCACTCAGAGGAAATCATTATTCCAACCATTGGGACAACACTCATGCTTTTTAAAATACTTTGATCTCATATGGATCACCTTTAACACAATATAGTCTAGCTTTGTTTTGAATTTTATATAAATGGAATCATACTGATGGCATTCTTCTATGACTTGCTTCTTATGCTCCACATTATCTTTGATATCCACCCACATTCTGAAGAAAAAAAAAAAGAAAAAAATATATATATCCACTTTCACCACTGTGTAGAATTCTATTGTTGGAATATACAATGATAGAATTTAACCATTCCACCACTGCTAAATATTTGGTTAATTTCTAATTCTTGGCTATTACAGTACTACTATGAGCATTCTTATATGTGCTTCCTAGGGAATATGTTCAATTGTTTTCCCAGAGCAATGTATTAGCTAGGGTTCTGGCAGAAAAAAGAAATTGTAATTTGAGATGAGTTTAATAAAGGGACCATCTATACAGGTGCGGGCAGGTATGGGGAAACCATAAAGGCTAGTGCAGCACACCATTAAGAGCTATTAAGAGCAAGGCTCTGTTGCCACTCCTAGGCTGAAAAGGTGAGGAAAGACGAATCATTAGAACCTGGAGAGCGATCAGAGAATGCAATATGAAGATGCACACCTACAAGAGGCTGTGACCTTAGGTCAAAGGACTTAACAAAAAGGTACATGAAGGAATAAATACCCAACTTCACCTTTCTTCTTCCCTCAAGTCTTCTGCAGTGGCTTCCCCATTGCCATGATACCTTGCTGGACATAAAGCAGGGTACTGAAGGGCAAAGTGTGATATGGAGGACAAATAGAAAATAACCAGGAGCCCAGTCAGTGTGGCTCAGTGGCTGACCTTTGACCCATGAACCAAGTGGTCATCGATTCGATTATTGGTCAGGGCACATGTCCAGGTCTCAGGCTCAATCCCCAGTAGGGAGCATGGAGGAGGCAGCTGATTGATGATTCCTTCATCATTGATGTTTGTATCTCTCCCTTCTTCCTCTCTCTCTAAAAATCAATGAAAAAATATTTTTTTAAAAGTAAAAACAAATAACCAGGAAAGGTATATATTTAGGAGTGCAGTTGCTGGGTTGTTGACAAAGGCAAACTGTTTTCCAAAGTGATTGTTTTCAAAGTAAGAGTTCATGTTGCTCCAAATCATGAACAGAACAATGGACCCTTTTTCATTTGTGTGCATCTGGTAGGGCTGTAATGATACCTCTGTGTGTTTTTACTTTTCACTTCCCTATTACTAAAATGGCTGAGAATATATACATGTTTCTTGGCCATTCTTATTTCTTATAACTAAGATAAATGAGCTATTATAATACACATACATCTTTTATACACTTTTCTCTAGAAGGTTATATAAAAATAAAGTGAGTGTACAATTTATTCTTTACAGATTGTACAGAGTACAGATATAAATGCCATTTAAGCTTCTACAATAGATAAAAAAATAATTACTTTATATCAGACAAAACATTTTTAAAGTGGATCAAGTGCTTATGCATAAGAAGGAATTTTAATTTAAAAAATCAAATGAATAGTTGTACTTAAACAAAATTTTTTAACACAGAAAATGATACTGTGATATTATTATCCTGAAAGAAACAGAACCACACATGCTAGTTCTGCTAAGCTAATATTCTTCATAGAATGCATGATAAATATTAATTATGAATGCTCATGAGGTATCTGAAGATACGAGGAGCTAAAATACTAATATACAAAATTGTAGAAGACACTAAGATACTAAGATCAAATATAGCAGACCAGTGCCAACAAATGGTTAAGTGCTGAAAAGTTCTTATGCTAAAAAAGGTTTCGGTGAACCTCTGAGAGCCCTTACAAATAGATGGTTTTATATTCACTATAAAACTTAATAAAGACAGAAATCAATTTTTGATCTCATTCCTTAATTTCTCATTTTAAAAATATTTCTAACAGGAAGTGTAATTCTTATGATAGCAAAAAGGTATACAGAAGTAAATTAGTATATATTCCAAATTCATGTATAGGAAATATCATTGGGAAGGATTGCTGCATTGG